TGTATGAGAAAGAGGACTGTGCACCTTCTTGTTTTCTCTATAATGTTTTTGAAAGAAGGAATTATTGATGGAGAAACGCAAATGGTTAGGTAAGTTTGTAATAGGAAAAATTATTAGGTAGGTTGTTTGCTGGTATTTTCTAGAATTTTATTTGAATGAAATAAAGAGAGAGATGGAGAAACCAAGGAAGAGAGAGAGAAGAGAGACAGAGATGTCAGATTTTTTGAATTGTTCCTTGAAAATGACAAAAAAAAGGAGTTGAATAGTTTACTTTTTTTACTTATTTATCATCTTTACTCGGCAAAGATATAGTCAAACTTATCATCTAATCTAAAATATCTAATATGCTAATACGTGGAAGTCGGAACATTATATATTAGTGTGTCAGTTTCAGTTGGTTTGGTTACAACCGGTCAATATATCAAAAGACCGATCCTGATCGAGCACTCGAAATATCTAAAGATTGTAAAACTGTTTCCGATTGTTCAACTTCGATTTGGACTAGGTCTGCCGAGTTGGTCAGTTTACTTGGATTTTTGAACCCTAGGTAAAATGCTTTACTCGAGGAGGGTTACGAACCAAACAGATCTTGATATGAAGCACATCGGATTTTCGACCACGTCTCTTTTCTTTTCCACCTTTTTCATGGCTTTGAGGTAGGGGGTCCAAGCTATGTTGCTATATATGTGTAGAATGTATTAGGATGCTTTATTTTGAAGATTTACTTGAATCTTGATGATTAAAGTTTGGAAGGCTATATGTATTTTGACTATGTATAAAAATGACACTACGCCTTTCACACCGATGCCAAATTGAACCATTAGCTCAAACTTGAATGTTGATGTTAAAAATGGGTTCCTTTTATCATTTGAATTTTTTCTATATAAAAAACAAAGGTTGGTTTGTGACCTCTTTTTAGCAAGTTTATATCAGAAGAAAACCCAAAAATAAGAAAGTTTCATAATGGATTTGGATTTGGATTTGGAAGTGATAATTCTTTAAGTATGAGTATTTCCAATCTTACCTTCCAAAGTGCTATCTAGTATGGGTACGAGAGTTATATACATATCAGATATGTGATTTATTAGCCTATGGCCCTAAGTTGATGATGAATGAAGAAATATTTTCATTCCCATTAATTGTGGATGACATCTCCCTAGTTGTGCATGTTCGAGTCATGGAAATAGACTCTCTAGAAATGGAATAAGACTGCATACATCATGCTCTCCAAAACCCACCTTTAGCAAGGGCCTTATGTACTAGGTCGCCTTTTTTTGTGTGTGACATCTTTTCTTACATGTGATTGCCTAAAAATCTAAGTGTAATTGCCTAGGTTGTTCCTTCTCCTTTCATTCTTCTCTTCCATTCTCTCATTCTAATATGGTATTAGCATAATGTTTTATCACTTAATGAACACATAATTACTCATAAAAAATGATTCAATTAGCAAAGAGTTCCCTCATGCGATCTTTTTATATTACATGATTACTTCAAATTGTGTGCTTTCCTACACCAAAAAGATGCAGGGAGAAAAAAGTGTTATAGTGGAGAATAGAGGGACTTCGGGAAAGAGAAAAGATAAAGTGGAGTATCCATTTTATTTTGAAGTGTAAAGTGTAGAAACTTGTCAAAAAAGTAGCATCTTTGGAAACTTAGTCCCAAGTTATCATGGCAACCAACCAAGTTAGCCCCCATTGGAATACTTAGGCTTAGAGAGTGATCCTCCTCCTTTCTCACATCAGAATTTAAACACACCATGTTTTTGGGAAGGATAGAACCATGGAAACGAATCTACACGTGTACCACATGCCCTAGCATAGCCTTTCTCGCAAGAACATCCAAAATAGATCCAGTACACACTACCAAAGACAGCAATCCTACATTCTCATTCTCAAAATTCAACGCTATTCCTGTCACACTGCTGGCAAGTTGAACCATTTTCCTGACTTGAATCTTGATGTTAAAGAATGGTTCCTTATTTATCATTTGAATTTTTCCTATTTAAAAGACAAAGGTTGGTATGTTACCTCTTTTTGGCAAGTTTACATCAAGAACCTCGAAAATAAGGAAGTTCCCTTACGGATCTGGAAGTGATAATTCTTTTAGTATGAGACGAGTATTTCCAATCATACCTTTCCAAAGTGCTATCTAGTATGGATACGAGAATTATATACATATGTGATATGTGATTTATTATATGGGTGCATATGGTTCAAGTTGGTTCAGTTTTGAAGAAATCCACGAACCAAACCATATCAAACAATTCTACAATTTTGAGAACCATACCACTGGACCATTGACACCAATAGAAACAGCACAGAACCAAACCGGTTCGGTTCTGGTTTTCGTTTGTTTCATGGTTCCAAGACTTTCCTATTTAAAAAAATAGATGTATATTATAATGCTAGTTATAACCCATACAATATTAGAATCGTTAATATAGTCATTCAAACATAACCATATAAACATTACAATTATTGTAACAAAGCAAAAGATACAGATTTCATTTCATTATCAAGTCATAACCATTACAATGAGAAAAAAAATAGTTTCAATCCTTGATAAATAACAAATATTGAAACAAAACCTGATAAACAAATCAAACCTTAACAATCTGAACTTTAGAACATAACATGATAATCATCTGGACATCCACAACCAAAAACAGTCTAAGCAAAATTTAAAAACCTCAACAAAGTAAACATCAAAGTTTAGTGAACAATGTTTCAAAATAGTTCCCAAAACAGCAATTTTTGAGCAGCCACACTTGTCTCCAATAAACAGCAGCAAACAGCAACTGAATAATAGAAATACAGTAAGCCTTTCCAAGTTTACCTAGTAATGAATTCTATACCTAGAGTGAGAAGAATGGAGCAGCCAGTAAACACAGAAAGAGTGTAGAAACGAGGAAATGTACAAGAAGTTAGAAGAGACAAAGAGGCATTGCTTGGAATATGAGAGATATTCTGAGATTTAAAAAAGGGGATGGAGAGTTAACGAAGAGGCACTTCTTGGAATTTGGAAATTGATAACGAAGAGGCGCTGGCAATTTGGCTCTATTTACAGGGTTATATGTATATTTATTAAAAAGCAGTTCGGTTCGGTTTAAACCGCGGTTATTTTAGGTAATCCATTAACCAAACTGTATAAACAGTTTTTCACCTTTACTGAATCGGGACCAGACCAGTTCTGTATAGAACCGACCAAACCATACAATTCGGACCAGTTTACTGGACTAACCGGATTTCTTGCACAACCCTAATTTATTAGCCTATGGCCTTATGTTGAAGATAAATGAAGAAAATCTTCTGTTGCCTATTAATGGGAGATGTGTGGTATAACTCCCTAGTGGCGCAGGTTTGAATTACAAAAACAACCTCTCTAGAAATGGAGGCAAGGTTACATACATCTTACCGTTCAAGACCCCACTTCAACAGGAGCCTTGGGCACTAGGTTGCTTTTTTTTATGTGTGACATATGTGATTGCCTAAAAACCTAGATGAAATTTCCTAGGCTGTTCCTTCTCCTTTCCTTCTTCTTTTTCTCTTCTATTCACTCATTCCAAATTACTCCGTTTGGATCATGAGGTAAGAAAAGAAAGGAAATGATTGGAGTTTCTCACCTAGTCGAGAAAAGAAAAAAAAGAAATAATTGTGGTTTCTCACCTTCTTACTTGGATGAACATTGATTAAAAAAAGATACATGTTTCATTTTATTGTACTTGGAGTGGTTATAGAGAGTAATTTTGATTTCTCACCAAATCTTACCACTTTTTGTGAACAAAACTTAAATTTTGAATGATTTGTCTCTCATCATTTTTCTTCCTTTCTCACCATTTCTCACCTCATAAATCATCCAAACAAGTCATGAGAAATCTCATTTTCACCAATTCCTTTCTTTTCTCACCAAACCTCCATCCAAACAAATTAATGTTTTCTCCGCAAACTCTTCATTTTCCTTATAAAACACAACCTAAATCCCAAACTATTGCCTAACTTATCCCAATCAACCCTAACTATGTTTCACAACCAAGCCTCAATTTTTTACTTGGGAGACTAGACAAAAACTCTGTTTGGATGGTGAGATGAAAAAGGGAAAAAAATGATTGTGGTCTCACTATCATGTTTAAGTGAATAAGAAAGCTAGTATGTGATATAGGAAAGTGGATGGGATTTCCTTCTCTTTCTTCACATATTAATAGACAATCTCTGTATTATGAATGGTCGACGACCAATTGGTTTATTTCTCACAAAATCTCAAAAAATCAAAATTTATAAAATAAGATTTCCTTCTCTGTTTTCATATATTAATAGACAATCTCGGTATTATGAATAGTCGATGGCCAATTAGTTTATTTCTCACCAAATTTCAAAAAATCAAAGTCTATAAAATAAGAGATCTCTTTATTTCTTATCGTTTCTTATCAAATCGCTTGATCCAAATGGACTATAATTTGGGCTATAAATGAAATATGCAATCTCATTCAGTTTTCTCACATAAGAAGAATACAAATGCCTTTTTCCATCTTCAGTCTATAAACTACAAGGGGTAAAATGAAATTTGACCAAAAATATATGTTTAAATGAGTAAAAAAAGTTAAGTATGTGATATAGAGATGTTTCTTTTTTTCCGTATATTAATAGACAATCTCGGTATTATTAATAGTACGTCCAATTAGTTTATTTCTGACCAATTCTCACCACTTTTGGCAAAAACAAAACATATAAAATAAGATATCTCTTTCTCTCAATTTCTCATCTTTCTCACTTAACCTATAAATTAAACATAGAAAGAAAAAAAAATGATATCTTTTCTCTTCATTTCTCATTGTATCACGTGATTCAAACAGGCTATAAATGGAATATCACATCTGATTCAGTTTTCGCACAGAAGAAGAATATCAATTTCCTTTTCCCGTTTCGAAATATAAAAAGCAATAATAAGGAGTAATAAAGGCAAAGAAACAAATAAATAATTTCTGAGGAACCAAACAGAGAAACCTGACAGAGATTGTAGGTGAAGCTGTCATAGTTATCGATGACGACGATTGGATTCGTGATCTTGTTCTTCACGGAGACAAGCTGAGATGCCACAGAGGCATTCTGAGAAACAGCCATTGGAATTTTGGAATGTTCTGCCATTCTGAGCAACAACAACGATCCATGATTACGAAAAGGAAGAGAGACACGAGAGCCAGTCGGAGGATGAGGGGTTAGGGTTTTGCGAGGCAACGAAGAGCGTTTGAACTCAACGAGACTCGACTGACAAACTAAACCAGTGGCTCTCATGGTCTCCATCGTCAATTCGAAACACAGCGAGAGACAGAGAGAGAGATAGAGATGGAGACAGAGATAGAGAGTAACGTTTTTTATGCTTCGGGATGTGGGGCCTTTTTAGGAGTACTGATCCTCGGTAGGCAGGGGATCTTTTGTGCTAGTGAAACGGCGTCGTTTTCCTTATCATGATCCTAGGAAAAAAAATGATATATGTATCAATTAGTATATTGATAGATGATGTCGTATAATTTTAAAATTTTTAGGTATATATAATTTGTAGAGAAATGTTAGGGATCATGAAAATTTTTTCATGAAAATGATCATGAAAAATTTGTGACCCTTAGATTATCTTGATTACTGTGTGGTGTTTTATTGTAAGTGTAATCCAAAGGTCACAAATCTTTCATGATCATTTTCATGAAAGACTTTTCATGATACCTAGCATTGCTGTAATTTGTATAATATGTGAGATTAATAATAAATGTCATAACACTAGTTGATACACTAGTTAGTAGAGTAATGATTGAGACCCTACCTCCACAAGACTAGAGGTGTAATTTTGGCCTGGCCCGACCCATGTTGGGCCTTGCGGGCTCCCGCCAAAAAATTGGGCCTGGCGGGGCGGGGCCACGGACCAAAAAATTAGGCCTAGGCCAAGGATATTGCGGGCTTTGAGTGGGCCAGTGGGCTTGGGCCTGGGCTCGGGCTATGGCGGGTCTAAATAATTTTTACATTTTTTTTTTAATTTTTTCCACCAAAAATTTATTATTTTCTATTAAAAATAACTCTGGGCATCGGGGTGCCCCGGGTGGGCCTGGCTTTGGGGCGGGTCTTGGGCAGGGCCATGGGCCATGGGCCGGGTCAAGCTTCAAAATGATGGCCCAGGCCTTGACCCAAGGCCTCGGGCTGGGCTTGGGCTTGGGCCTTAATGGGCTGGACCTATCTCAGGCTGCGGGCGGGTTTCGAGCCGTCTGCTGGCCATGAGCCAAAATTACACCCCTGCACAAGACCAAGGTCGCCCCTAAGGGCAGGCAAAAGAGGCCTTTGCCTTGGGCCTCAAAATTAGGGCTAAAAATTAGGGCTCCAAATGTAATTTTGTCTTTTAGATATAAAAATAAAAAAACCCAAATACTATAGGTTCAATTGAACATGTGGCTTAAAAAAAAGCAATAAAACTAGATTTTTATTTTTTTTAAGTATTTATAATGATTGCTTCCTATCTTAATATATGAAAGTAAATTTTTATTTATAATTTGAATGATTATATGTGCAAATAAATTTTTTTTGTGGCTATAAACAAATAAAAAACTTGTAACTTATCGTCTTATCTATAAATTTTTTATTTTTTTTCAATGTAAGAGGGCCCTATTTTTGAAATTCGTCTTGGGCCCCTAAATCTCAGGACCGGCGCAGCATAAGATTCCGACAAATCTGAAACACTCCTGATGTCTTCTCTTTTTTCCACTTCGCATCAGATGAATCCCTTGTTTCTTCCATGGCCAACGTCAATCTGAAGCCCTAGGTCGATATAAGATTTTGAAGTAAGAATACCTCACACATTTTGGGTCTCTTTCGCAGGTCGTCTTCGTCGTCTCGTCGATCTCCTTCCACTCGCAGATCCTCCATTCCTCTCCTCTCGTTTTCCTTTTAACGCTCACGGGGCAGACACTCCCCTCCCCCCCCAAAAAAAGGAGGTAAAACGACGCCGTTTCATTAGGTATTACCTACCTTCATAGGATTTATACTCCTTTTGAAGAGAGATTCTTTTAGCATCATAACGGCATGTAATAATAATTATAGTAATATTCTTTTACATTGTAACGGCAAGTACTAATAATTATAGTAATAAATCTGGACAAACTACAATTGACATCCCTTGACTGTACTTAAATTACAACCGCTTATAACATTTCTAATGATTCATCAAATTTTTCATTAAATTTGAATAAAATTTAAATTTAATAAAATTTAATTTGAATAAAATTTAATAAAAAATTTGATTTGATATGATGTACTTCAATCGTTTTCATTAATTATGACGGTCGTCCAACGTAAAGTAAATTTTGATCAAAATTTGGTCGTCTACCCGGTTATCCCACGGTCGTCCACCAATGGTCAATTTCAAAATTTGATAAAAGGTTAAACGCTCTTTCGATTAGATAAAAATTTGTTGCTTCCTTCATTTGATATTATTTTGATGACAGGATTGGAGCACCGTTTTCACCAAATTTTCATCAAATATAAATTTGATGAAAGATATGAGTAAACGTTGGAGATGGTCTTAGTATGGAGAAATAAAACTCACCTCTTTTAAACATTTGGACAAATTATACCCCCTTTGGCCATGTTTGATTAATAGGATTAGTAGTAAAAGAATTAATAATCTCATGAATTAGCGTATGATTAGTAATTCAATTAAATTAGTAAGATAACCCTTTATTATGTATTCGTTTTATTTTTTTTATACTTTTATACTTGAAATTATGATTTTCAGTCCTTCTTAATATTACAAATTTGTCAATTTCAACGGATTAAATGTTCGCCATACATATAATCCGGTTAATAAAATTTACAATCAAACATAAAATTGTGAGTCCATAAACTAACAATCTCAGTCATATACTATAATCCTACTAATCAAACATGTTCTCTCTTGTTCTTCTCATTTGTTTTCCCCTCTCCATCCCACCACTAGTTGCCAACACCACCATCAGTACCCCCCAACAATGTAGGACAATCTTCACTGTATTTAAAAGATTTAATTCTATTGTGTACACAACAACAAATAGAATTTAAAGAAATAAAGAAAAGGAGAGAATTTGTTTGATTACAAAAATCAAACTCGAAATAAAAATAAATAAATAAAAACAGATTTTATTTTGTTACAAAAACAAAATTAAAATCTGATTTAAATAAATAAAAACAACACTGAAAATAAATTAAATAACTTACTTGATTTAATTTCTTCGACCCGGAACTGACCGATCGATTCCGACCCGACCGCCCGGTCGGTTCGAGCGGTACACCCCTCTCAACTCCCCCATGGAGCACGTCCTCAATCAGATCCAGCGGGACTACCCCCTCAAATGGCCCCTACCGTCCCGAAACCCTTCCACCCGGAAAGATCAGTCCAAATACTGCCGTTCCACTAAGACCATGGCCATACCACCGACGAGTGCATTAACCTCAAAGACCAGATCGAGACCTTCATCCGCCAGGGCCGCCTCAGCCGATTCACAGACCCCCGTCCCCCACAGAGACAAAGAACTGACCATCCCAGGAACAATCGCCGACGCACACCGCCCCGCAATCAAGCCCCACCAAACGAAGGCCACGATCGCCTTCCACCACAGCCTCGGCCTCCGGGCAATCCCTCTCCACCAGTCGGAGAAATCAGAGTCATTTCGGGAGGACTTGCTTGCGGGGGGCCATCCCGCTCGGCTCAGAAGGCAAAACTCAGAAAAATCAGGCAAGGCTCAGACAAAGCAGTGGCGACGGTGGACCGACCTCCCAAATAGTCAAAACAATGGATCGAACCCATCACCTTCACCGACACCGACTGTGCAGGAGTCCGTTACCCACATGATGACCCCCTTGTCATTTCCGCCATCCTCTCCAACTACAAAGTCAGACGAGTCCTCTTAGACAACGGCAGCTCCTCAGACATCATCTTCCTCAATTGCTTCCGCCAACTCAAGATTGAGGAAGAGAGCTTGTCCCCTCTCCAAACCCCTCTGGTCGGCTTCACCGGCGACCGAGTGACCTCCATCGGCTCCATCGATCTGCCTATCACTATCACCATCGGCGAGCACCCGCGGCAGACCACTAAGCTGCTCACCTTCCTTGTGGTCGACTGCCCCTCCGCTTACAACATTATCCTTGGTCGCACAGCCCTAAATGCCTTCCAAGCCATCACTTTCACATATCATCTGGCCATGAAATTTTCCACCGATCTCGGCGTCGGAACTGTCAAAGGCGAACAAACTGTAGCCAGGGAGTGTTATGTCGCCTCGCTCAAAGAAGTCAAGCTAAAAGAGGCCATGATCATCGAAGGGCTTGACGTCCGAGACGAGGACGAGCTGGTCAGAGGTGAACCTGTAGAGGAACTTGTTGAAGTTAACATCGATCCCACCAACCCAATCAGAACCGCCAAGATCGGCAGTCAATTACCCACTCAAGCCAAGGCCGACCTTACTGCTCTCTTAACCGAGCACAGAGATGTATTCGCCTGGACTCATTCGGACATGCCAGGCATCGACCCCTCCTTCATAACCCATCGCCTCAGCATCGAACCCCATTTTCGACCCCACCGCCAGAAGCAATTCATTTTCCATCCGGAGCGCAACACCCTTATAGCCGCCGAAGTTAACAAACTCCTCGAAGCCCAATTCATCAAAAATGTGGACTATCCTAGGTGGTTGTCCAATGTGGTCCTCGTCCGAAAACACAATGGCAAATGGCGACTCTGTGTCGACTACTCTGACTTGAACCGAGCTTGTCCCAAAGACAGCTACCCCCTTCCTCGCATAGATCTGCTGGTCGACGCCACCGCCGGTCATCAAATGCTCAGCTTCATGGATGCCTTCTCTGGGTACAACCAAATCCTAATGCACACATCCGACCAGGAGCACACATCATTTATTACCGACCGAGGTACCTACCACTACTGTGTAATGCCATTCGGACTGAAGAATGCTGGGGCCACTTATCAGCGGCTGGTTAACACCGTTTTCCATCACCAAATAGGCCGGAATATGGAAGTCTACGTCGACGACATGCTAGTCATAAAAGCAAATACTCCTCCGATCACCTTACTGATTACGAGAAACCTTCGCCACCTGCGCAAGTACCAATGAACGCTCAACCCATTAGAAGTTCGCCTTCGCGTTAGGGATCTGGCAAATTTTTGGGTTTTATGGTCAGCCAACGCGGCATCGAGCTAACCCTGAGAAGATCAAAGCCTTTGTTTGAGATGCAGTCACCTCGGACGGTCAAAAAAGTTCAGAGGCTCATCGACCGAGTGGCGGCCCTCAACCGCTTCATTTCCCGTGCGACAGATAAGTGCTTGCCCTTCTTCAAAG